AAAGTCAGAGATGATAGCTCATCTGCTGCTGCACAGTTTGTGTTGGTCAACCTCTAGTCCTTCATCAGTGGACATAGGACGCTGCCCACAGGACACTGTTGGCTGGATATTTTTGGTTGGTGGATTATTCTCAGTCCAGTAGTGACACTGAGGTGTTTAAAAACTCCAGCAGCACTGCTGTGTCTGATCCACTCAGACCAGCGCAACACACACTAACACACCACCACCATGTCAGTGTTACTGCAGTGCTGAGAATGATCCACCACCCAAAAAGTTCCTGCTCTGTGAGGGTCCATGGGGGTCCTGACCACTGAAGAACAGGGTAAAAGGGGGTTAACAAAGTATGCAGAGAAACAGATGGACTACAGTCTGTAATTGTAGAACTACAAAGTGCACCTATATAGTAAGTGGAGCTGATAAAATGGAAAATGAGCATAGAAACAAGAAGGTGGTCATAATGTCATGCCATATATATATATATATATATATATATATATATGCATACGCACCTAAGATTTTCAATCACCTTCACACCTGTGTAAATGTGATGTGACAATAAATGTGTCACATATTCGGCCAGCCAGCCTCAAAACTACGATTCCCAGAATCCTCCGCCTCATCACCTGACTCCAGGAAGATCATCAGCAGCCTATCACCGCTCTAGTTCTCCTGAATATTGATCATTTTCACCTGTATGTTTTCTCACATGACCTGCTTTAGATAGTATATTAGCCCGGGCTATAGTCAGGTTCAGTGCGAGGTATTGTTTTCCTAGTGAAACTACTGAGCGTTCTTTCTGGTTTTGATCTCCCCTGTTCTGACCTTGTGTTTTGACTTTGTTTCTCGGATTTTCGGATTTGCCCTTTTGATACTGTTGCCTGGTTAGCTGGATATATGGTTTTGACTTTTGCCTGTGTTTTGGACTTAGATCTGCCTAGCCCTATTGTGTTTTGATCGCCTTCTGTGTATTTTTGCTGTGCCTGTGTACTGACAACAATATCTCAAAGTAAAGCTTCTTCACTGTTTTACATCCGCGAGCGTCTGCTCACTGGTCCAGATTACAAAATGTGATTTGATTTGATTTGATTTTGATTTCTCAAGAAATTCTTAAATCATGGCAAAAATGTAAAAGATGTTTTATCTGTCTGCAAACCAAGACTAAGTACAACAAAATCTTTTTTTCTATCAAATCATGATAAAATCTCTCCTCTTCTACTTACAAACACAAATGTGATATCGATAGACACTTAGCATGCTTTTGTTATCATTGGCCATAGGGCCTTAATAAATACAGTGATGTACGATAGGGAACTAATAATAATAGAACAGCTAATAAATGACTGCATATTTCTTGATGTCCAAAAATTATGAGGAAGGAAACACCAAGTGAAATTATTCAGAATAACACTTAAAGCGATTATCTTGTCCCAGCAGACCCCTAATGTTTGCAATTTTCTGATATCGTGAAAGAAAACAAAGCTACATGCCCACAGTCATCAAATTGATGAACAATGGCAAGCTAACTACAGAAAACATCACCATAATTAGACATAACTGAGTCAAATCAAATCTTTCCAATGAGTAAATGCTTTGCTGCAAGTAAAATCAGGATGTGGTCTTCTGCTGAGACCACGGCCTGAGCATCCAGCAGGAAATACATCAGCTATCCTTCAACCTACATATCCTGATTGGTGTGTTCCATAAGGAATACATATGAGCCCTGCGTCCTGTGTGGATGTGTTTTCTTTTTTGTTTTTTGTTTTTTCTGAGTGGACAACTGTGCATCTGGTCAGCTTTGAAATTGATTTGGCCCAAGACATCCACATCTACAGTCTGGATGAGGAAAGATGCAAACCCTGAAGCTTCATCTGTCTGGTCAGTGTCATTTCACACAGAAGAGAGCAAGCATGAGTCAGAATGATTTCTCTCTAGCCCTCTCTGCATTTAGATAACTCCACAAACATCAATCAGGCAATTCCAAGAACAACACAGAAGTAAGCACACAAACCTTCACACGGCCCTTCTCCACTTTCTATTCCAGCTCAGCACGACATGCCTTTTAGAGTAACATGCCTAAAACTGATACAAAATGCTCTGAATCATCTGAGTCATATCATCCTATCACAGTCCCAACCACGAGTCTGGAACAGTCAGCTGGACTGAGTTCTGACTGACTCAGATCCTCCCACCGGTCTGGGGATATGCACTTAAAACCCCACCCTTTAGTCCTGGACATAAAGAGGGAAGCATTGATCAGCTACAGATCAGAATTAGCTGATTTCTAATGTAAATATGCGATTGGAGCTCGGTTGATGATGCTTCCATCTGGTTGGTGAACGAGAGCCAATTTGCAAAATATATGAGCCAAATTTTGCCACGTGACAAAAGGACATCAGTCTGATCATCAGTGTGGCAGTATTTAAAAAAAAAATGTCTGCTGCAGCTGAAAATAAATGCTATTTTAATGTCCGAAATGTAATGAGTCTCATGGAGCACAGAAAAAACAAAAAATGAATACAATTTAACCTGATTCAACACTTAAGAGCAGGACAGTCAGGGTGCTGATGAGGAGCTAACAACAAGCTAACCAAAATGTGAAATACAAGGGGTCCTGGGGGGTCCGGGACCCCCTAAATAACCTCTTGGACCCTGTAAATGTCTCAAAATCAAAATTCTGGGGACTTATTATGACATTATGTTGTCTGTTGGGGAAAAATAGACACTCAAATACAAATTCAGGGAAAGTTTGCTGTTCGGCTGCTTTACCTACAATCGCCGAGCTTCTGTCTTTGGTATTCTTAACTAACCAGAGATAAAGCACTGATCTGCCTCAGGGTGGCACTGTAGCAAACTGGTTCAACCAGTTGGTCCTTCATAGCCTAGAAACTATAACTATGCTCAGGATACCCAGTCTGAAAAACTTTACAATATGCTGTAGCATATTTGTAAATCTGAAAACTTGCCCAATTTCCCACGAGTTTGGTGGAAAGAGTGAATTGTTACTTAAACTTGTTATTTCTCAAACCATAGGGAACAGAGGTGATGCGTAAGATCTCAATGCATGTGTCGAACTGGAAAAGAGGATTTCCAAAAGAAGAATTGTTAAACCAAACATTTTGTTGCCAGTAAAGCTATCATTAGCGCCACAGCCGCTATGATGAGTGAGTTAGCAGCCTGCCAATGCTAGAGTGGCCAGCCTACATGGGACACCACGACCCCACAAATGCCAGGTGGTATTTTACACACTGAAGCTAACAAAGAGAGATGGAGAAACCTTCATCAGCATTAAGTCAACCAGGTGCTGGTGATATTAGAGAGATTTAAAAAGTACAGCAGCGACAGCATTAAATCATAAGAACTCATAAACAAAGTAAAGGAATTAAAACTATTTAATATACTCATCTCTGTTAATAACATAATTTCCCAATGTGTTTGTTGCAAAGAACTGAAATGTGTACATTTTTATGTTATTTGTGTCACAAACTACCTATTTAAGCAAGTAAACATATTAATAGGAGTAAACCTCACACTTTTATCAAACAGAAAAGGATCTTAGTGATCTGAATTGTGTTCTGTACATGCACTTACTCACTCAGGATTTGTCAGTAAATAAATATAGTAAGAGAAAACACTGTAGCACACAGAAACACAAAAAGCTCCAATTCCACATAGTGACACATTTTAAAATGGCCAACATAGCGACTCCAAACTTATTTTAACAGATTTTAATGAGTTAAAGGAGACAAAACCAAAATCTCTGAACGTATAATTGGCAAGACGTTAGGTCTGACCAGGTTTAATCAGCAAGTTTCCTGTTGCCAAGCAGTTTTTTGGTTTGTGCATTTTACCTATGGCACCCAGGACAGTTAACTGCAATGTAATGTCTTTAGCTGGGTGCTTCAGAATCAGCAGCATTGCTTTTCAGTGGAAGTCACTATGGGCCACAATGCAAAGAAATAAGTGCCCATCTGACGAAAATGACTTTCAATCAATCAAAAAATGACAATGTAATTTGTTTGTTTACTTGCTATCGTTATGTCTCAAATAAGCTGATGCTCGCAAGACATGGCACCCCACCCACTAGCGTCTAACATCCCCTTAAACCAGCAGTCCCCAATCCTCTTCCTGGAGCTCTACCTTCCTGCAGATTTTAGTTCAAACCTGCATCTAGCATGCTGCCCCTCCCTTACCTGACAAAAACACATCTGATCCAGGCAATCAACACTTCTGAATAATTATTAGCTGGAGCATGTGTGGCAGATTGTGGTTGGAACTAAACTCTGCAGAAGGTAGATCTCCAGGACCAAAGTTGGTGACCACTGCCCTAAATGCTTATGTTAGTCTTAGATTACTTGAGATTAAGCCATATCAGTTATTATTATGAATGATAATAAATTACAAGTTTATGTTAGTCATGAATGTACAATTGTGTGGGCTTCTATATGAGAGACCTAATAAAGATTTTAGGGGGCCTGGTTGATGCGTCATGGGCCCCAGTGCAATTGCCCACCCAACCCACTACCCCTAGTAGTTATTCTACTGTTCAGACTGTGTTTAAATATTACATCAATATAGGTCAAAACAAATAAACAGTAACTTTCTTTTAGTGAATCCACATGTCAGGTTTGTAAGACATTTTTAAGCACAGAGTAACAATACTTAGAGCTACCATGAGCTCATTAGCTATATTAATTACACTTAAATATCATCAAATACTGTAATACTGTGATATATATGGAAAACATTGTGATATTATCTTTGTCAATCCGACCCAGCACTTGGTTCACCCCTAACTTGAACATTTCAGCCCTTATCCATTTCCACCTCACAGAACTGCAAGTCATCCAGACATCTATCGAAAGCAAAAAGACGTGCACAGGAGATGCTGAGTAAGGCTGCTGGTTGATGTTAATGCACAAAGCTACATGCTAACTCCCGGTCAGTGCAACAGGTTTAACAGAGACAGTAAGGAAGGTGTAGATGCCTCCAGTGGCTCTTACCTGATTTGCGTTTGGAGCCATAGTCCCTGAAAAAGAGGCAACAGCAGAGAGACATGATTAGAATACCGGCCAAATATCTCAACGTCCTGCAGGCAGACGGCACGGTCAGCACACACTTACACACACACACACACACACACACACACACACACACACACACACAGTGAGAGAGAGCAGAATGTGTCACTGCGCAGACAGACAGTGTGTATGTGATTGAGTGTGAGGGTGTGTGATGGAGCTGCAGAGGAAAGGGCAGCAAATCATGTGACCCAAACAGAGCCACTCTGGTCTCTCTACCAGTCAGCCCCCCCATTCCTTCTCTTTTTTCCTCAGTCCTTTGCTCCAGAGAATACAGGAAGGACCCTCTAAACCCCTGCTTAATGGATTATAATTGGATTTAGCTATTCAGCTGCTAAGCTAGAAGCAGTCGTGTGTGTGTGTGTGCATGTGGGGGTGTGTGTGTGTGTGTGTTCAGTCTGTCTGAATGAAAAGTGTGGTCAGAAAAAGGAAAGAGGTGCAAAAGGACAGAAAAGGAGAGAAAGAAGGACAGAGAGAACAGAGTGAGAGAACTATTTATAGAAAATTACGCCAATGCGGTTTACACACACACACACACACACAATCATCTTTGTGTGTGTGTGTGTGGACGTCAATATGGTCTACACTAGCAGAATTTTCTTTTATTCACATTTATTTTTGTACATTTTTTTGTTTTTTATTTTTACATCTGTTTTATAACATAAGTGTCTATATATAAATATAGATACTTACGTTCTATAGGTACTTTACTGAATTTTTATAATATGATATCTCAAGTTACAACATTTTAAAGTCTTTCAGCTCTGAAAAGCCAAAAGTGGAGGTGTGCTACAATCAAGCTTTAAACAACTAATAAATCATGATGTTTCATGATGTTTCATGAACTACAGAAGGAACACAATGAAAACGCTGTAAAACCTTGATTTTAGCAAAATATGAATTTATTATTAACATTTTTTTTCTCAGTGGGTTTCAGCACACCGTCACACGTGTATGTGTGTGTGTGTGTGTGTGTGTGTGTGTATACTTTCAGACAAGGGCATTTCATTTACTTTATTTCACATGTGACCATCTTGGCATTGATTGCTGATCCAGTCAACAACACTGACACAGGGCCGTCCAGACAAAAAGAAGCTCTGGATTATGTAGGTCCTCACATGTGTTTGCTAATAGTTTAATACAGCATTAGGGTACTAATCCTCTAGTTATTAGGAGTAATTTGGAGATTTAGGCAGTATGTTTGATCAAATGCAGGGGGTGTAACGTTAACAAGTCAGACTGCTCAATCACACACACAAACACACACATGTGGGAACGTATCACAACCTGTTACTGGTAACAAAATAATACAAATCCAATCAAAAAAGGAAACACTTTGATTCCTATAATGTTTTTAAGACAAAGCTGTGAAGAAAAGTAAAAAATCTTAAATGAATCTCTTAAATTAAGTCTTAATTAATTACACCAAATAGTCAATGCATGTTTGATCTTAAGTTTGCTTCTTTAGCTTTAGAAATGGAGCTAAGAAGCTAATGTTGCTACCAAGTAATGGAAGCATTTGGCTACCAGTTAGCACTGTGCAAACTGCATGCCTAAATCATCAAAAATTCATCTCAGATCGTCTCGTTGTTAAATAATCTCAAATAGACTTGCCTGCGTTGTTTCTAACAATGTATCACACTGTAATATATTTTGACGTCCACATATTCATGCTACAAAGTGGGAAAAACATGGACACCTCTATGAAAGCCGGTACTGTTAGCAACAAGTGAAATGAGTGCTTTCACGGTCATGACGTATTTACCTGCTCAAATGTGATGTACTTTGGATCATTTTTACAAAAACAGTGTGCCATACAGTGTTGTTAGCTACATTCGCCTATAGCTCAAAACTAAATTTAGCAAATTTTAGCAAAACCTAAGGAAAAAAACTGAACATTTGAACACTTGTGAAGACTTGTGAGGCCCTAATGTCACAAGTATTGCACTACAAGTACATGCACACACACACAGTATATCATGTACATTCATCTTTATAATTATCACCTCGCTCTTCCACTTAAACATATGACAACCCTTTCATCCCTGTACTCATCTCCTCTTGCCCTCTCTCTGTCTCTCCTCTCATCTCTTAATATCTTTATCCCTCTCTATCCATCCATCCTGCTATCAATCTCTCCCTTTGTGTCTCCCAGTGGCCAATGAAAGCCCTCTTTCTGCCCATCAACCCTGAGGTCACCCAGAACGTCCTGGAACCACAGTGATCCAGAATGGCCTCCTTTGTCAAGCTAACAGGAACAAGACAAAAACAAAAGCACCCCTTAAATACTAAGGCACAGTTAAAAAGTTAAAAATCAGATTCAACTCAAATGTAGTCGATTATCCAAGACGTGTTTAGTGTTCTTAGTCTATTTTTAATATGAGGCGTTTTTGCAGTCATGTTAACGTCCCATTTGAAATAGCTGGGCACAGTACATTCTGATGCCTGTGCAATGCTAAATTTCATTATTCAACCCCCAAATTACCCCAAAATTACCAAGCAATCAGAAACTCAGTCTTCAGCCATATTTCAGACAGAGTTCACCAAAATGCAGAGATAAAAAAAAGTTTTCTAAAATATCCAAGTACGTGGACAGGGCCACGGGTAACGATTGGTGATGGCTGAGGGGTCCACAGGGCAATGGTACATTACACACAATCTCACAAGCATACTACAGGCTAATGTAGCTAACAAGTAATGTAAGTTTATAGCCCACCAATTAGCATTGTGCAAACATGTCTACACCATTATGTGCTTGGCTCAAACTGTATCAGATTGTTAATTAATTTCAAATAGACTTGCTTGTGAGGCTTCTGATGCTGTTCTATAAAAATGGAAGTAAGTAGGCTACATAGCTACAAACAGTAGAAGCCTGTGCGTTTTGTCATTTGTCCACTAAAGAAGTGAACTTCAGACACTAAACATGTCTTTCCTGATTGACTACCTTTGGGGTGAGAGGAAAACTGGGTAAACAGACAGTCACATATAAACTGCTGTAGAGGCCACATAACAGCAAACTAACACTGTAGACCAATAAAGGACACCCTATTCACAGATATATGATCTACATATTCAAACGATGGGGAAATCCCCAGTGAGCCATTCCCGTTTAAAGGCTCTTTTTCAGGCCAAACAGCATGTCAATACGCTCCATTGTGGACGGACACTAACTGCTATTGACTATTTCAAGCCGCTAATGACTTATTGAACAAAATAAGTGGTTAGCAGTTATAGCCTGAGACTATTTGGAGGCATTCTGTGTGAGGAAAGTGACGGCCGATGACCCGCTGTGCTACAAGAAATTATTTCATGGCATGACTTGGGTGCCTCTAAAACATAGAAAGAAAAGACTACAGTTCCCAGTGTTACAGCTCCCATGGACAATGTTAAATGAAGGACACGTAAGCAGCGAAATGTAGTTTGATTTATGTTTCTATTCATACAGAGATTCTGACCATCAAGTGGCAATATATCATAGTAGATCTAGCTAAAAACTACACTTTTAAAGAGATAGCATGGGGTTCTTTAGTAAAGAGAATGGTTCTATATGGAACAGCACCAAAAAGGGTCTTCTACTGTTATGATGAACCCTTTTGGCTATATAGAACCATTTTCAAAAAGCTTCTATATAGAACCATATGCAACACATTCTCTATCAATCCAAAGAATGTTTTCACCATGCAAAGAACCATTTAAGCATGAAATGGTTCCATATAGAACTCATTGTTCTAAACAAAACCACCGCCTTTACTAAAGAACATGAAGAACCTTCTTAAGTGCAGAAGATATCAGTGTTGTAAGAAAACCTTTCTTTCTGTCTGCAATAATTTTTAACAGGAAAGAAAATGGGGTCAGATTCATAAAATGCAGCACCAATATTGTAATTATAATAATTTGAAATTGGCTAAAATTATTATTATTATTATTATTATTATTATTGTTGTTGTTGTTGTTGTGTAAAAAATCTTTCATGCTAAAATTTTCCGACAATTAAAGTTGAATTTTAAGATGTTATTCAAGTTTTATAGATGTAATTTTTTATAGTAAAAACCTTTTCTGATAAAGAAACTTTGTTTCTTGATTAACAGGTAAAAGTAAATCTTTACAAAATAATTTTACTACTTTTTGTCAGCACACACAGGTGACAATACAGCACTGTTAGAAGACCCTGGTACACTAATCACCACCACATTGACTTTTTCAATAGGTCTTATTTACCATACGGCACATTTTGTGTGAAATAGCGCTGTTACCATCATGTTTTTGAAACTGGCCCATTATGTTCTTATTTAAATGGTTCATATCATACAACACTGAAGTTTGTTCACTTTTTGAAATTCTTACAGTCCATATATGGAAACTAAGTTGCAAAAACAACTAATTTTAAATCAGTTGCTTTTGTGATTTATATATTTCTACCTAATGAGCATAGCAGTTTACTCCCACCCATTCACACTGAATTTATAATTTATAAGGAGTGTTTCACTTTAAAGACACAATACAGGGCAGCCAATCATAACAGAGATCATTTATCACAGATAAGTCTTAAAGGGACAGTAATAAAACCAGCCTGTTGAACTATAAGGGATAAAGAGGTTGATTCAGGATGGAAAATGGAATCATGACTGTTTATGGAAAATAAAAACACACAAATGTTATAAATGAACCTCAGTGGAAAAACCTACAAGGAAAATGTAGGCTATTGGCTTTTTCAAATGTTTGAATATGCATAGATGCAAGTCATTTTGGACCATTTCTACTGGCCAATGTGTTATCAAATAGAACAGCATAACAGTTCAACAGCATAACAGTTTTCAAATGGGGTCAAACATGAACAACTAAAACAAATGGAGTTACAAAGTTTGATATGACAGCAATGATATCGATACTTGCTAAACTGTCATATAACTCCATATTATTTCCATTGATTTTATTATGACTTTTTATC